GACGTGCACCCGCCCGAGAGCGATGCCAAGTCGGGCGATCCCCGCTCGCGAGCACGCGAGGCAGGACCGCCGGGGAGCCCCGGGGAGCCCCGCGGCCGCGGCGTGCAGGGTCCGGCGGGCGAGGCGGGCCGCGAGAGCTCGCCCCCCTATAGATGGAAGCCTCGCGGCCCCCCCCTGCCGGGGTCGAGGAGCCGCTCGTCTTGGGCGCCCGAGTGATACGGGGTAACTCGGGTCCGGGGTAAGTCGGGTTCGGAATGCCGAAAAACGAGCCCGAGTTAGCCCTGACCCGAGTTACCCGTGATGATTCGGGGCTCTGATAGATGGAAACCTCGCGGCCCCCCCCTGCCGGGGTCGAGGAGCCGCTCGTCGGAGGTGTCCGAGCGTCCGAGCCCGTGGGCGGCGGCGAGAGGGGCGAACAGCCCAAAGGGGCGGGCACTGCACTCTGTGACTGTCGGCGGCGAGGCAGAGGCGGTCCGCTCCCGCGCGGGGCTGCCCTCGGGGCAACCGCATGGCTCCTCAGCTCAGTCGCCGGCATGCAAGGAGAGGGAGGAGGAGGGAGGAGGAGGGAGGAGGGAGGAGTGGGGAGGAGGAGGGAGGAGGGAGGAGGGAGGAGGGAGGAGGGAGGAGGGAGGAGGAGGGGGAAGGGAGGAGGGAGGAGGGAGGAGGGAGGAGGGAGGAGGAGGGGGAAGGGGGAGGGGGGATGAGGAGGGAGGAGGAGGGAGGAGGAGGGAGGAGGAGGGAGGAGGGCGGCCGCGGAGCCGGCATGCAAGAGAGGGAAACGGACGAGGGCGGCCGCGGGGAGGACGGAGGAGAGGCGGGCAGTGCACGCACCCCCCTGGGAGCCTCGCCGAGGACGCGGACCATCGACGCCCCTGGATACGGTCGGACCTGGGACAGAAAAGCATCCTTCGAGAACATGAGACTCTCCGACGGCCAAACTGCAGAAGATTCGAGGACACCCTCCCCCAGGATGCACAAGGGCATCCAACAAGCACGAAGAACATGAGGGTACCCTCCCCGAACCGACTTCGATGTTGTACCTCGGTTCAACTGTAAGCAGTGTCTTTCGTTTTCGTTATGTGCTCATCTTCCTCGCTTTTGGCCTTCCATCCGCCTTTGCTGCAAGACGAGATCGAACCGCAAACGGCCCACAAAGCCGCCAAAACACCGTTCAGGTCGACCCCTGCCCTGGCCTGAGGTCGGGCATGTCCCCCTACAGGCGGATTTTGGACGAAGAAAAAATACCCCCAAATGCCCCAAGATGGCCAACTAATGATCAACAAATCGTCCCCGTACTATTTGTTTTACTATTGTTGAAATTTCCTCCTGTAGAAGGACAGGCCCGACTTAACTCTGGTCCAAGGTTTTGGGTGACCCAAAAGGGGGTCAAGCTGAAAGGGGGTGGTGCAATAGATTTGGGGCAAGTGTATTGCAAATGCACTGCGCCGGAGACTTGCATGCGAAAATACGGCAATACATTTGCGCCCCGGAATGCATTGCGCGCCCCAAATGTACTGCAACCCCGCAAATCTACTGCACCAGATCTATTGCACCACCCCTGACGACCTACCAGACCACCCCAACCCAACCCGAAGACCCGATTTTCGGGTTGGGGGGGTAAGGGCTCCACATGTGTTTTTTCGATGTTGCCCGACCCCCCCCACTGGAAATCGAGGGTAAATTTGAGCCTTCGGGTTGGGTTGGGGTGGTTTGGTGGGTGGTGAACCCCCTTGTCGCTGGACCCCATGTCAGGTCAACCCGAAAGGTGTCCCCGGCCTTGCCGCGCCACTCCGGGCGCCCCCGAGGAGTGCTCTCTGGCTGCCGCCCAGGCCTCCCGGCCGCCACCAACCACAGGGTCATGTTGCCCCCGTCGTACTCAGGGACCACATCCCAGAAATCATTTCGAGCACCTCCTCCTCCTCCTCCTCCTCCTCCTCCTCCTCCTCCTCATCCTCCGCTTCCTCCCCCCACTCCTAGCCCTTTCGATCAGGGTCGGCGGCACCGGCCGTCAGGCCTCTCCAATCATTTCGAGCACCTGGAAAAGTGTCGAACGAGTGTCGAACGAGTGTCGGACGAGTGTCTCCCGGGGCCCGGCACGTGGGAGTTTCGGTACTTCTCTGGTGCTCGAAATTCTTTCTCGTGGTCAAGGCTAAAGTAGGTTGGAACGTCATAACCTTACGATGTTCCAACCTACTTCGGCCTTGATCACCAGAAAGAGTTTCGAGTACCAGAAAAAGAAAGAAACTCGAGGGCTCCCCCGCGTCGGGCCCCGGGAGCCGCTCGCCCGACACTGTTTCGGCGCTCTTTCGACACTTTTTCGGGGACTCGGAACTATTTTTGTAGAGGCCTCCTAGATGGGGTCGGAGTAGATGGGGTCGGATGATCGCGCCGAATCGCTGATACATCGGCGATACATCGGCGATACATCGTCGATGCATCGGCGATGCACCTGCGATGCATCGTCGACGTTGGCGATGCATCGGCGACGTCGACGTGACGCAAATCGGGCTGCACGCAAAACCGGGTGCTCGGCGCCCTCCTGTGAGGAGGGAAAAGACCACGCGTACAGACACGATTCCTCGTCGACCCCCTCAGGGAAATAGCTGGGAAGGAATGGGAAGTGGGGGGGGGGAAGACAAGAACCCAGAAGATGTCGGAAGATATGGGGAATCCTTTTCGTGGTCCCTGAGGCTCAAGCGAGCGGGCGGCGACCTCGGTCGGCGGCGTCGGCGGCCACGGCGGCGGCGGCGACGACGGGCGCTGGCCCACGGGCCACGCCTCGGGCCTCCGGCGGCCGTGCGGGCCGAGAGGAGGAGGAGGAGGAGGAGGAGGAGGAGGGAGGAGGAGGGAGGAGGAGGAGGAGCTAGGAAGACGAGGAGGAGGAGGAAGACGAGGAGGAGGAAGACGAGGAGGAGGAGGAGGAGGCACTGCCAGAAAGCACCCCGAGGCTGGGAGAGGTTCACCGAGGAGGCGACGAACATCGGGCGGCGCTCACGCGGGGGTGGCGCGAGGGAGGTGGGCCTCTGACGACGGCGGCGGGGCTGCTGAGATTTGGCGGCGCGAGGAGTGAGCAGGGACCCGCTGTCCCGGCATTCCTATAGTCCTACGACGAAATGTTCTTGGAACCCAGAAAAGTTCGAAAAACAGAAGCAGTGTTCTTGGAACATAAACCCGATGTGATAAAACAAGACACTCCCAGCCAGAAATGTTCTAAGAACATTTCGTGGAAACCACAAATGTTCTTAGAACATTGTTTGGTAGGGCTAAATATAGCCAGGACGCTTCGCCACTGCTTGAGAGGAGGGGGGTAGGGGGAGGGGGGGGTTCTTAGGAGGCTGCTTCTCAGAAGGGCCCGGCTGTACATCTATAGACAAGGCCCGCGCCTTCTAAGCAGCAGGGGTGCTTCGAAGACGCCGTGCCCCCTCCCCCTACCCCCCTCTGCGCGTGGCCAGCAGTCTCGATCATCGGATACTGGCATTTTCTGGTCGCGACCGATGAGATCGGTCGCTGCCGGTTCTGCTTCCAAACCCGGGATCGGCCGCGGTCGATTCATTCAATAATCGGTCGCAACCGATTGTCAAATGGCATGCTCCTCTTCCTCCTTCCCCTCTCACCCCCTCTCCTTCTAGATTCGGTCGCGGTCGGTCGCGGTAGGTCGCGGTCGGTCGCGGGGCGGTACCGGAGAGTCGCGACCGCGACCGATCGCCACCGATGTTGGAATCGACCGCGATCGGTCGCGACCGCTTTGGCGTGCCGATCGGCCGCTTCCGATCGCGACCGACAAAAAAGCCAGTGCCCGATGCTCTGGCGGCAAGGGGGCTTCTTGGAACCTCGCCCGGCTCCTCGGAAGCCTCTTCAGAACCCACCCCGGGGTCTTCCAAGAAGGCGCCCTGCCCTCTGAGAAGCCCCTCCGCCCTCTCGGATGAGAACGCCCCTCCCCCGCGTCGCCCCCCTCGTGCGCACCGCCCCCACAAAATAGGTATGCGGCCCAGACGGCACTCCCCCCAAGGGGGGGTGGCACCATTCAGTCCCGGACCCGGTTTCGATGGCCCCACTGACTCCAGATCCGCCCTACTCTGGCTTTTTTTCCAACTTAAAATTGCGTCGGAAATCCACTTTCTGCACCCAACATAAAATTCGGCGAAAATCCACAGAAGTAGGGCGGAAACAACAACAGAAAAGTAGGGCGGAAATTGGCATCAGCGGGGCTTGAAAAGTAAGGCGGAAATTCCAAGCCCTACTTACGAATTTCCCCAAAGTAGGGCGGATCCGGAGTCAGGGCCCGGGGTCCAGTCCCGGGCCCTGGAGGCCGAAATACAGGGAAGACGCCGAGATTGAACAAATACCTCACGGTGACAAAAGTTTCGTTCAATATGCCTTCGCCGATGGCGCATCTGCGCGGAGTAGTTCGGAGTAGAACTGCTCCAACGACGCGCGCGGGCGCATCCCGCTCGATAGCTCATAGGGTTTGGAGAGGAATAGTTACCGGTCCTGTTTTGGGATAGCAGAATTGCGAGCCTTACGCGGGTCGGAAAACTACCCCGCCGAGTGACACAGCCATCATGTCATGTCAAGAATCTTTAGAGGGATAGGGGATATCACCCTGGCAAATGGAAGACTTGTTTGTCCCGGCTGTATAATATCGTCCGGAACAAGGCTTTCGTCTAAGAGCCGCAAAAGCTCGGACAAATATTGAGCAGGGACCGACCGCCCTGGCATTCCTATAGGCCTACCACGAAATGTTCCTAGAACCCCAAAATGGTCGAATAACAGAACAATGTCCTTAGAACATACACCCGATGTGTTCAAACAAGACTGTCCCAGCCAGGAATGTTCAAGAAACAGTTCGTGGAAATCACAGGAGGTTCTTAGAACATTGTTTGGTAGGCCTGCAGGCACGCCATGACGCTTCGCCACTGCTTGACGGTTCGTCCGAAAACCGCACAACCTCGGACAAGGACGACGACAACGACGAGCGCGCTGCGCTGCCGAGCGCCCTGCCGGCCACGAGGACGTCCCCAGCATGTAGGCCGGCAGTGGCTGCGCCCCGCCGAGGACGGTGCGCCACGCGGAGCCGAAGGCGGCGGCGGCCGCGCTTGCGGTTGGGGGGGGGCGGATCGAGGATCGAGGGTTCGAGGAGGAGGACCCAGACCCCCTCGAGCAGTGCAAACAAAATCACAGCGGGAGGTTTTTCACAGTTTTCGGCCTCCGGGGGCCCTTCCCGGGCCTCGGGGCCGTCAAGAAACGGCTTACGAGGAGAAGCTGGTCCCGCGGAGTAGGTCGAAACCTTTGGGGGTGGACGTCATGAAAAAATCATGACGCCGGGGGTCTGGGGAGGACGGCGAGGAGTAGACCCGCCCCAAGGGGGTATACAAAGGAAGGCCAGCAGGCGCAAGCAGGAGAAAGGAGGACATCCCACCCACCACCACGACATCACTTGCAACGCGGATATAGGGACTAGGGAGGAGGAGGAGGAGGAGGAGGAGGAGGAAGAGGAGGAGGAAGAGGAGGAGGAGGAGGAGGAGCAAAGCAACGCCCGATCGGCCCAAAGCCAGTCCTGATTCAGAACACTGGGAATGAACATGCACGGCGACATTTCATGTGGAATTCCACCGGAGAAATGCGGAAAACCATCGTAGCAACAGCACCTGTTGTTCGTCTGGTCAGACTACGCCGGCGCAGCCACGCCTGGTGGGGGGAGGGAAGGGAAGGGAGGAAAGGGGGGAGGAGAGGAGGGAAGGGGGGCGGCAGGGGCAGCATCGGCGATTAGTCAGTCCATCTATGCCTCGGCCTTCCCCGCCGTCGGCGCGGAGCGTGTCGTAGGAACTGATCGTGACTTTGCGCCGGAGCCCAATTGGCGGCCACCTGCGCGACTAGCGGCGCCGATTCAGGATCGACAGTTCGAAGCCTGTCTCTGGCGAGATACCGTACCTGGTCCCGCTCCTGCACAGGGTGCCGCTGGAGCGCAGCCACTAATCTTGCTTGCGTGCAGTGCCCTGCAACTCGGGTCGTCAGAACGCCCATCCGACGGTTGTGCGCAGCTTTTTTCTTTGGGATGGCATCCAGCTGGCCGATATGTTCCGAAGTCAGCGGTGTTGCCGGCAAGCTGTAGCAAACAGCGAAGGGAACGAAACCTTGAAAGAGCGTGAAACGTAACAGAATGGGAATATTCGGGTTCAACAGAAGCAGTGCTAAACTTCGACTTCTCATCCACCTGCGAGCCAACTGGTGGCGCAAGCTGCACTGCCCTCTGAGCTGTAAGTCTCCAGTGAAACAGCGCCCCAAATACTTACGCATTGCCCTGCGTCGCAAGATATCCACCATGCATGTGCCAGCGTCTGCCGAAAGCGGGGCATCGCTGTCCGAAGACTCGGGATCCACGGCCTGTACCTTACTGTTCGAGCCATTGATGGAGAGGCCTGCCCTGGCAAGCTCTTCGGGCAGCGCTTCAGACATGAATATGGCATCGTCGAAATCGCCGAATGTCTGCCCAAACAGCAGCGAATCATCAGCGTGCAGGATGTTCGTGAGCCTGTCGTGAGCGCTGTCCAGGAGCAGACTGCAGCTGCGCATCCTGGCCTTCCACCGCCGCAACACAAATTCCAACGCGACATTGAACAACGCAAGGTTGAGTATGTCTCCTTGGCGCAAGCCCAGGCGGAAACGGAACGACGCTCGTCCACCGACGTTACACGACTGCCCAGAGCACCACAGCCGCGCCAGCAGCGCGAAATAGGACTCGTCGACCCCTTGCTCCAGCAAAGCGTCAAGCAGCGAGCTGTACCAAACCCTGCCAAAAGCCTTCTTTCAGATCGATGTAGACGATCCAAACCAGAGTGCTCCACTCGATAGAATTTCCTATGACGCATTCCAGCACCGGGAGGGCGTGATGAACGCCCGTCTTGGATCTACATGCAATGTGTTCGGTGGTCCAAGATGGGTTTCTGCCTGTTGTTCAGCATATTTGAAAGCATCTTGTACGTGGTGTCCAACAGCGCGATGGGCCGCCAATTGTTCGGATCTGCCTTATCACCAGAGCCCGGCTTGGGGAGCATGACGAACAAGAGTTACCTCCAGTCTTCCTGCAGGTCCCCAGATCACTAGAACTGGTTGAGCACTCCAAATTATACGCGTTGCGCTGAAGCGCCACCTCCGCGTATCTGCCTCCTGACAGCTGCCTGAGCGCCCTCCTCAGCTCGATCACGTCGAGATCTGCGCGAGTAGCGAAGCGTCTTCAAGGTCGTGCGGCTGCTCGCTGCAGGAATTCACTACGTCCAAAACGTCGGCAAACTTGCGAGGTGCTGGTCTCTGCCACGTGTTTCTTCACAGGCTCGGCACTGATTCGTGAGAGTTAACCCAGTTCCTTGACAATCGACAGCTGTTGCGCTAACGTCCAAAACTAAAGTCCCCCCTGAGCCCTAGACGGTCTGTGCTTCAGCGTCTTGACTGTAGGCCTCGGGGCTCGAGGTTCGAAAGATTTGGGCGCTTTTGGGCCTTTGGGAGCGCCCTCGTCGCCACCGTTGGGTCCACCTCCGAATAGCGCACACCAAGCGAGGTCTGTCGGCTGTGTTCGAGCGGTGAAGGGCAGAGCAGCACCAATGATCCGATGAAGCGCCAGAGCTCGGAAGAGCGCACCCTGAGGTGACTACCTACCAGGCCACCCCTAACCCAACCCGAAGACCCGAATTTCGGGTTGGGAGGGGGGGGGGGTACAGGTTCCAGATGTGGTCTTCCGGTGTTCCCCGAACCCCCCCCCCCCACTGGAAATGGGGGGCACATTGAGGCCTTCGGGCTGGGCTGGGGTGGTTTGGTGGGTGGTGAGGAGGGCCCTCAGGAAAACAGAAACGGATCAGGCGTCCGAACCCCCTTACGGGGCCAGCACCCTCTTGTCCCAAAAGGTCCTTCTGCACGAATCCCTACAGGCCCCCCTCTCCACGACAGGCAGCGCCCCCCCCCCCCCCCTTTCAGAGACGAGCACACGATGGGCCTGCTGGTCGGGAGCTGCTTCGCATGCCGCCAGCGAATGACAGGGATGCGAGCAGGTAGGACCACACATTCCAACCGCGTGCCCAACGAGAGCCTCGCTTGCAAAAGGAACCACCCCATACGTCTAACCGTTGCACTATTTTGCACTTCGTGTCAGCAAAGTAAAACGGCTCCCGAGCGAGAGCCCCATTGAAAAGGAGCCACCCTCCCTTCGTGCAGCTGTCACACATGTTGAATGTTCCGGCGGCTCAGATTGAGGAAATGTCCAACAGTATCCTAATGTCGAAAAGGAACCGTCATCCATCCTCGTAGCTGCTGGAACACTTGTGAAGACGGATGCGCGCGGCGCTGAGGCGAGAGCCGCATTTCGAATACCACTCGGTCCCAATGTTCCAAGTTGCTGCAAGCTTCAAAATAAAAATGCGCGCGGCGCTCTGGCGAAATTCTGTTGCTGCAAACTTGTAAAACGAGTGCGTGCGCGGCGCAAATGCAAGGGCCGCATTTTGAAAGCGATCCGCGCTGTAGAGCGAAAGCATGTCAAACTTTCAAGGCGAGTGTGCTCGGCACAAGGGTGAGAACCACGCTGTGAAAACGCCTAGCCATCAATGCGGGAAGCTGTTGGAATCTGGGAACCAAAAAGCGCTTGTAAAGAAGTCTCAAAGGGGATGCCGTGCCAGGCCTACGGACACACGTCTGGTGTTGCGACAGGGTGCGCGTACTTACTACTTACAGGGAAGAAGAATGGACGAAGAGGAGAAGGATCTAAGAGTGAGAGAGGGAGGGGAGAAGAGGAGAGGTATACTTAGTGGTTCGTGGAGGGATATCGAGGTTCTAGAGTCTGAAGGCCGTTTTCTGGGATTGGGTTCGAGGATCGATCGAGGCCTCCCACATTGGGCCGGAGCAGATGGGGCTGGAGCAGATGGGGTTGGAGGATCGCGCCGGATCGCTGATGCATCGGCGTCGGTTGGAGGGCGGAAATCGCGCCACATATTCAAAACACAGGCGATCGAAGCGATGCGAGGATCGTGAGAGTGACTGAGGATGAAAACGGATAGAAGGCTGGGTGAGAGCGGTAAGGTTGAGAGCAGAGATGGAACGATAAGAATGCGAGTTATCAAGACTGTGAGCTATATATAGAGAGAGTGCAAGAGGGAGAGCGAATCCAGTCAGGACAAGTGAAGGCGATGAAGATGTGAGCAGGGACGAGGGTGTTAATGAGAATTATGATGTTGACGATGATGTGGGTGTGTGTTGGTTTGTTGGGTCTGCGCAAGGGGTAAAGAAGACTAAATCAAAATTGGATGTTCGGCAAAACATCCTCACCGCTACGCGCACAGTACCGTTGGACGAAACGTGGGTTCACCCTTGCAGGGCCAAGTCCGCATAGCCCGAAAGCACTTGACCGTTTGGGCTCCCAGTGGGCTCCCAGCTCTGCAGGGTCACGAAGAAGAACGGCCCACATCCGCCGAGTGAGAAGAGAAGGTCCAGGCATCGGGCCAGCACGACTCTTCTCGCCAGCAGGCAACGCCCCACCTGTTTGCGCCACTGCTTGCGAGAAGAGGCCCTCTGGGCCCTGCTCCCTCTCGGCCCCCCTTCTCCGCCCCCTTCCTCCTCGCCAGCCCCTGCATCCTAAGGTGTCCCTCCCTGCTGGCAAAGCAGACCCTGTTCGCACGCCATCTGGTCATCTGCGGCGCTGATCGCAAGATGACGCTCTTCCTCCCTCTTTCTCTCTCTCTCTCTCTCTCTCTTTTTTTTCTCTCTCTCTCTCTCTCTCTCTCTCTCTATCTCTCTGCCTACCTACCAGAGCACCCCAACCCAACCCGAGGACCCGAATTTCAGGTTGGGGGGGGGGTACGGGTTCTACATGTGGTTTTTCCATGTTCCCCGACCCCCCCTCCCACTGGAAATGGGGGGCAAGCTGAAGCTTTCGGGTTGGGTTGGGGTAGTTTGGTGGGTGGTGACTCTCTCTCTCTCTCTTTCTTTCTGTCTTTCTTTCTTTCTTTCTTTCTTTCTTTCTCTCTCTCTACAAAAACAAGTCTGGTTACACGTTACAGCGACACTGGGCGAGAACGACCTTTGGTGCCTGGCTCTGGGTGGGGCCAAGCCCGAGAGCGCAAGCGGCTTCTGTCGCATCGTGTTCAGCAAAATCAGGAAACGGGGGACCCCAGAGGGCCCGCACCAAAGGCCACTCCAGCCAAGGGTCACAATTCGTCAAGAGGGTATAAAAAAACACAGATATCATGAATCGTCGATTTCCCTACAAAATATGGGGGATCGGGGAAAGACGAAAACCCCTCCTCCCCCAAAAAATGGGAATCCTGGGATTTGTACGTATTCATTTGTGTGTCCCTGAACCCCCTTTAACCCTCCCGCGCAGCCGAGAGGCACAGCCAAGAGACACGTCAAAGTTGGAGACCCCGGTCCTGGTGGCGGTCTCCGAGACGCACTCGGACGCGCACACCTCGCACAGGGAGGACAGTCCCCCCCGCCCCCTCCGAAGCCAACAAGAGATACACGTCGCTAATTTCCAATGGTGCTCGTTTCTAGTTGTGCTCGTTCCTGATTGTTCCTGGCCCCCCAAGTGGGCCAGGAAGAGGCCCAGGATAGAACAACTTGAAACGAAAGGATCTTGCCCCCCCCAAAAAAACAAAAACTTTGGAAGAATTGGACTTGAACAAGAGATCGCTACTACCCTCGTCAAAACTAACCTCAAAAGTTGCTGGCACGTCATTTCGATTTCGGCGCGCCCCTCAATGTCGACACGCCGCCCCTTCAATGTCGGTGCGAGGGCAACGATGGTCTGACCGAAGTTGACTCGAAAGTTTGACGTCGACCGACATTGGAGGGGCGGCGCATGCAATCACCCCGCACTCATCGATGCTCTCGGCCCCAGATCTCCCGACAAGCAGTTCGACCACGTCAGACATTTTTGAGGTCAACTTTGACGAGGGCTGCAGGAGGCGCCGAGGCGAATCATACCTCGGGAGCGGCCAAGAGGGGGGTGTCCAAGAGGGGGGGCGCAAATCATGACCGGCGGCATGTGCGCGGCCCAGCGGGGAGGCCAGGGACGTAATGAAACAAGAAGAGGCGCCATGAGATCTGGGGAAATACATATCATGGCCCACGCCATGATATCATATGATATCCACCCCCCCTAGTCATCACCCCTCTCTTTTCCGCCCCCGACACTCCCCCTGCAGGAGGCGCCGAGACGAATCACACCGTGACCGCGCGGGGCGCGCTGCTCCCACGGGGCCCGCCCGCGTGCGCGCGCGAACCGCGAGAGGCCGGGCCTCGTGCCGACACCCCCCTCCCCGCCACCTCCGGGGAGGGGGGGGGGGAGGAGGAGGAGGAGAGGAGGAGGAGGAGGAGGAGGAGGAGGAGGAGGAGGAGGAGGAGGAGGGAGGAGGGAGGAGGAGAGGAGGGGAGGAGAGGAGGAGGAGGAGGAGGAGGGGGGAGGGAGGAGGAGGAGGAGGAGGGAGAGGGGGGGGGAGGAGGAGGCCTCCGGAGGAGGAGGAGGAGGAGGAGGAGGAGGAGAAGAACGAACGAACGAACGACTCTGCAGAAGGGTGCCAGATGATCCTGCAGCAACGCGGGGAACTCCGAAGCCATAATTAATGTAAGCTCCGAACTGACTCGCGTCTAGAGGGCGCAGTGACTCCATATAATCAGGTCACGCGTGGCACTAGGTGCACTCTGCTCCCGCCCACCTTACCTCACCTCGGCTGGAGGGCCCGAAGCTTTAAAGGCAGGGCACGGCCGTGGGGTCGTGGGTCGAAAATCGGGGACGAAACTTCGAAGCTCTAGCAGAAAAAGCAGAGCAGGGAGGCCCAGCCTTATCAGTCAGATCCTCGCCACGCGAATTTGGATTTACAGTCAACTACTACTCAGGCTGGCCGAAGCGGCCCCAAGGGGGGGCCGCGGGAAACACTCAAAGCTAAAAAGTTACGGCCCTGGGGGTGGGCCTTCGCGCTTTCTGAGACCTAGAAGACCCAAGACTCTGGTGAGAGGGATCGGAGGAGGAGGAGGAGGAGGAGTCTGAAGGTCGGGAGAGGCGACAGCGACGGCGAGATTATTCGGCCTAATCGAAGTCATCGGACCAGGTGTAGCCGAACTCACTGAAGACGAGGCCGAGGGAGGAGGTCGAGTAGCTCTCTGGGAACGCGGAGTTCGTGATCTCCTCGCCGTCGGAGCCGCCATCAGTGATGTAGTCGAGATCAGGGAACGAGAAGGGGTGGCCCTCAACGGCGTGGTCAAAGTCGCCAACCGTCCAGTCGATAGCCTCTGTGATGCATGCCCCTCGGCTGCGTCGGACCCGCTAGGTCGGTACCCTCTGCTCTCCCGTGACGGCTCGGAGAGTGAGCAGTGCGTGCCTGCGGGCCCTTCCTGCTCGGACCTGCTAGGTCGGTACCCTCTGCCTCCGAGCTGCGGCTCGGGAGGTGAGCAGTGCGTGCCTGCAGGCCCTTCTCCTCTCACTGCCTCCAGCAGCCTGGCCACTACTGCGCGTCGAGGTGAATCTGCAACAGCCTGGCGTTGTGGGTGCGTGGAGGCGCCCCGTGTTTGTGAACCCCACCGAGCTGCGCCAGAGCCGCTACGACCGTGTCCTCTATGCCCGTCGCTTTGGCCTCGATCCAGATCTTGACTTTGTCCTGCGCGTGGGTCGTCTGCAGCCGGCAGTGCCGAACCTGGTCGGCCAGCCCGCCGTTGGAAATGGGTGCCGCTTTCATGCGATCCTGGTACTCCTTGATCTGCCTCGCGTTGGCCTGGCCCACCTTGTCGCCCTGTCCCACGAGAGCGCCCACCAGCGCGACCCACACGTGTGGATGAGGGATCCCCAACGCCTCGAGCTCGGGGACGGGGTCGCCGTTCTTGAGGGCGGCCTGGTTCGCCTCGCGAAGGCGCTTGGCCTCCTGCCCGTAGTGCCGCGCCGTGAGCATCATCGACTGGGGCACGTCGTGGTTGGCAGGAAGCTGGACGTGACGGTAGATGGCCGACTCGAGGGCGTTGATCGCCTGCTCGTGCCTGAGGGACATGCGCATCAGGATGGGCATCATCTGCTGCACCTGCTCGATCGGGATGGGCGGAAGGTTCCTGACGTCGTCCTCTCTCAGCCCGTAGTGGTTGTCGGTGGCGCCCCACACGTCGATCTGCTGCTGCGGGGGCTGACCTGCCCCTGGAGCCGCGGCCGCGGGGCCAGCTCCGCGCTGCGGCGGAGGGGCTCCCCGAGCGCCTCGGCCTCGGCGGTCTCCACTCCGAGTCCGATCGCCTCGCCCACCCTCGAGATCGCGTCGCCTCTGCTCTGTCCCAGTGGCGAGAGCCCGCTCCGCCAGGCTCGACATCCAGCACAAGATCGGGGGCGGGCGGCGCGTGGGCTTCTCGGATGTGTGCCCGAAGTGCCTGCAACGTCTGAAACGGCTCTTGAGCCAGTGTGGCCTCGGCCAGTCCCTCCCTGAAAGCCTCGTGCGCAGACCCTGGATCCACGCAGATCGGACAGTGGAGGTCGTCGGGCACAACCAGGGGGGGTGAATACGCACTAAAATCTGTGAGGCAGCGGCGACGGCGAAGTGACTGAACCACGTGCCTCTTGGCCAGCACCACCGACGAGAAGGTAGAGGAGCAGTAGCAGCACTGGTTAGTCACCACAAGCTGGTGCATCGGGACCCTGATCTTGTGCGACGGGTGGTGGCACTGATGCGCTCTCAAGGCCGCTCTGGAGTAGAAGACGTGCCCACAGGGGTCCCCGTTCTCGCCTGGGAGGTCACAGTAGTATTCTTGAGGAGGGGCTTCAGGGACTGGTGGAACCTCTGGTGGAACCCCGTGCTGAGGAGGAGGCCGAAGGGGTCCTTCATGTTCCTGCTCCCAATAGGCCTTCCGAAAACCCTTGAGACTCACGCTCCTGAAGTGGCACGCAACACGGTAGTTCGTGAAGATGTCCCGAATCGAATAGCCTCTCGCCAGGAACTGGTGCCCAGGGGGGATGACCGAGAGGAGCTTGATATCCTGCTGGAGCTGGAGGGCCCACGGATTAGCGCCAGACCGAATCCAACCATCGGGGGTGAACGTCGGAGACTCGCCCAGCGAAGAGAAGTGCCCGAAGAGCGCCGCAACGACCTGAACCGAATCGGCGGGGTACACTGCAAGGCGCTGCCAGTAGCCGAGGCGTCTGATCAAGAGCTCAGTCCTCGAGCCAGCGATGCGCAACCACTTGTGAATGACTCTCGCCGAAGGTGTCCGAATCCTATCTCCCTCTGGCCCTACTCTCTTGGCAACGCCCCTCATCGCCACCTTCGCGAATCCCAAGATCACCGAGTCAAGCTTGGCATAGTCCTTCTTACCTAGGATATAGACCTCGAGGCCCGAGTAGGCCGCGCTGTGGATAATTCCCAAGAAAGCCATCCTCTTAAGCTTCAAAGACGAGTGCTGGTTCCAGAACCTCCCGAGCTTGGTCCAGGCAGAGCGCGCAGCGTCGACACGTAGTTTAACTTCAGCCCCCGAACCGCCCGTCAGATGTTCAAGCCCTCCGAGGTAGACGGTTTCAGCCCGAGTTTGCCCTGGGAACTGGACGAGTCCTGAGAGCGCGGCCCTCGTGGCCGTGTATCCTCCTGGGCCCACAAAAACTGGGAGGATGATCTCCTTGTCCACATTCTGAGTAAACCCTCCTATCTCCTCGAGCTGATCTGACAAGATACGAGACGACAGTTTTGCCCTCTCCGCTGCGTGGACGGGGTTGCCATTCGGCAGCGGCAGGGTCTGCGATACGTCATCGGCGTAGTCGCGCATGGAAATGTCGATCTGCTCAGAGTGGATGGGCGAGTCAATCAGCGCCGCCGCCTCCATCATCGGCACGGAGCCGCCGCTCGCTGTATCCAAGGTGGCCTGGGTGCCCTGCAAGAGGATCTGGTTCCACGCCTCCAGCGGCTTGACGAACGACCGCACGAACAGCTCGCACGCGCTGCCGTCGCCCATGCCCGAGCCGTGGGAGGGTTGGAAGAAGCCCTTCTCATCGCCTGCCTCAACCTCGATGACCGCCTCACGATGCCTCTGCTGCAAGAAGAGTTGGTCCTGCATGTCGGGAATCACTTCCCCAATCACCTGCTCCAGCATGTCGTGATCTGTCGAAGGGAACGCGTTGCTCATGTCTTTTTTGATCTGCAAGTGGGAGACGAGCTTCTTTCGTAATCTCCAAGAGTGAGGTTTAGCAACCAACTGCGCGTTCTGCCTCGACCTGTGCGCTGCATATCCATGTGCGTGTAATGGAAGTCGCGGGCGCTCATGTCGAACAAAAATGCCTCTGTACCAAGCCTTGCCGAACGGGCAGTAGCAGTGTATGAGTCTCATCGCCTTGGCGCCTCTCTTGCCATTGCCCTTGCTCAACTGGAACGTTTTGGACCAGTGCCACTGGTAGGGAGTGCGACACGTATTCCGAATCTGCCTCTGAATCTCAAAGATGCGCTCAGCCAGTCGTGGACAAGGGACCTGAACTCGCTGCCGTCGCTCGAGAGGGTCTTCATCAGCTGGTTCGCCTCGCGCTTCTCGAGTAGCAGCCCTCATCGCCATGAGCCACACCTCGCTGGGGGCGGAGTGCGGGGGGGAGTACCTGCGCCTGGCCGCCTTCTCAAGACGCTGCAGCGTGTTCGTCCAGTCGTCGTAGGCGGCCGATCCAGGTCGCCCTCGCAGATCCTTCCACTCCCCATCTGGGTCATCAATCTCTCTCGAGGCCAAAGCCACGCTGCGAGGAATGCCTGGTCCGCGTAGGCGAACAGCAGAGAAGCCCCCCCCCTTAGCGTCGGACTCCAGCGTGTCCTGCCGCTCTTGCAACGTCGGGGCGTAAGTTGGGATCAGGTTAAACCGGCGTCTCCGCACCCCGTGATAGCGCGCCCCGATCTGAAAGGCGAGCTTCCAGACGGTGCTGGTATGGCCTCGATCTGAGGCCACTTGCGCCTCCTTCAGCAGCGCCTCGACATTCTCTTAGTCCAGCCTACGGCGCGCACGCTTGATCTCGCGATCGCAAGCACGGAGTCGAAGTCGATCTTCTTCCTGAAAGTGAACACTGAGCTGACGCCTCGTTGCCAAAAGTCGATCACGCTCTTCTCGATATGCAGCAGACGGCCCCGTCGTCTTGGTCTCCAGGAATTCTGTCCGCGCTGCCTCTGTGACGTCCGCCACCAAGTCAAACCAAGAAAGTGAGGGGTCCTCTGCTCTAAGAAAACTTCGCCATGCGCTCGCCGAACTCTCGCACCGTCGCTCCAACTCCGCGATGAACTCGGGGGCGCCTCGCAGCTTAAGAGCCTGTCCCATGAGATCTCTGTCCCACCGAGGGCGCCGACCATCAGGATGAGGTGCAGTCCGAAGCCTGTAGTGTACTCGCCACAGCATGGGGCAATGGTCTCGAAGTAGAGGTGAAGGTATACGTTGTAGGTCACGCATCGCTCGTCGAAGACACACACACGATCTGGTCGCCTGCACAGCGTCGCACGGTCCCCACAGGTGGTCGGGATGCGAGGTGATGTGAGCCTCGGCCCCGAAATATGTTGGCCCCGTGTCGTAAAAGGTGTCGATCGCAGCCAAGCCTTCCATGCTCATCATGCGCCACAGAGCGGCACTGACCCCGTTCTCGTAGCTGTTCGCGAACGGGCCGACGTGCACGTCGTCGCGCGTCGTCGTCGGGGTGCCGCTGGGCCCACTGCGTCGCCCAAACTCAGAATTCGTGTCAGCTCCCACCACTATCATGCAGCGCGCTCGGGCACGCTGTATCGTCCGATGAAGCCACGCCGTGAGCTTGGCACAAGTCGTGTTCCAATGGTCGATCTGGTGCCTCTGCGGCGGCGGGTAGTAGGCCACCACCACCATTATGTCGAAGGTCGGACTCTTGAGTCGAACTGCTCCGCCCCGCCCCGCCAGCTCGCGAGGAGGCTCGAGTACTTCATGCACGTGGGCCTCTCGAAAGACCCGTCGTCTCAGCATGATCGCGCAGCCCGCGCTCTTGTTTGTGTACCGCCCCCTCTGCCACCCGAACTGCACCATCATGTGCTTCTCGAGCTTCATCACCGTCGGGGCGTCTCCTGCGCGGCGCCACTGCTGAGTCCCTGGCAACAGAATAAGATCCGCAAAGCTCAAGCGAGAAGAAACGTCGTGTGCCCGCCATGTGTCGCTAAGAGAGAGAGTGGATTGTAGAGTACAGTTTGTAGGAGGGAGGCCCACATGATGGGCGGGAGCTGGGGCTGCAGGCGGAAGGGGTGTAGCCTGCATCAAGTCCTGACAGGGAGCCCCGATTCCCCCTGGTCTGAGCAGGAGGGGCTTAGGAGGAGAAGGAGGAGGAGGAGGAGGGAGGACAGGATCGTGGCCTCCGATGGGGGGAGCCGCAATCGACGACCCCCCCTCCCGCCCCAAGAGGCCCCCGAGAGCCCCCCAAGAGGCCCTGGGGCCCCCCAAGACGCCGCCGAGGAGCCCCAAGAGACTCCCAAGAGGTCCCCAAGAGGCTCTAAAGAGGGCTCCAGGGCCGGCGGAATGAGCGAAGCGATTAATACATAAGTGGACTTGAACAAGAGATCGCAAGGCGCCGAGACGAATCATACTGTTCGGGACACGCACATGTTCGGGCCACGCGGGCCCGACTCTGATGGGCATGTTTTCCACCACCACCACCACCACCATAAGTTGGAGGGGGAAGGAAATGGAGGAGGAGGAGGAGGAGGAGGAGGAGGAGGAGGAAGGGCAGGGGGAGGAGGGCCACGGAGGAGGGCCCCCTCCCCCCTCCGACTTCTGGTGGTGGTGGTGGTGGTGGCGAACAGGCCCGTCGGACTCCGTTTCTTGCCAAGGGGGCAAGCCCAGGAGAGGAGGACCGAGGCGTCCGCTGCCTCCCAGGGGGGCCATCCGAACCGCGCGCCGCACGGAGAAGCGAGCACCCGCATCGCGAGCCGCAGCAAAACAGCGCACCTCGCGAAGCGAAGAGCTTACAGTCGGGGCGTTGACCTAAGGAACCCTAAATAAGGAACGAGGCCCCTTTTTTCCATAAGTTCAGCTTCGATTTCCTAGCGAGAACATCGGAAAACCAAAGGCAAGCTGTGAAACACTTAAGGAACGCGGAGCCACTCCCCAACGAAAAGGGTTCCTTCTTCAGGGCCCCGACTGTAGTCGCGGCTTCAGCGGGCAAGCAAGCCCCAATGTATCCACATCCACAATCTCCCGAAGTCCAGGCAGACCGTTTCCCGGGTGAAGATGTACATGCTCCAGTCTCGGAACTACGAATGTCAATTCACGGTCTAAGCGACCGAGCGGGAGCCATGTGCATCCGCGGGTCCGAACAGGGGGCGTGCCCGATGCACGTGCTCACGACCGATCGGCCGACAATAATCAGAACGAGCAGGAAGAGCGAGGAGGACCTGAACGGGAAGGCCCGAGGAGCACACCAGACCAATGGATGCGCCACTGCGGCCGTGCCCACAGCACGTTGAGGCGTGCTCGAATGTATGTCAGCTGTCCTAGAACTAGAGAAAACGCCATAAGCTTAAGTCGGGCGTGTCCCCCTACAGAAGATGTCCGGCGACAAATAAAAATACCCAAAAAATACACAAAAGATGACAACAAATACTCAAACAATAGTCCCCTGACTATTTCCCTACCTAGGCTCTGCCTAGAGGGTTCTTACTTTGTTTGCTTAAAGGGGCCGGGCAGTGTAAAACGCCCCGGGCGATTCCGCCAGTCCCCGCCCCGCGGTTCCCCCAGTTACGTCCCATCAGCTTAGCGTTGCTTATCTCATCTTAGCTTAGCCTAGCTTAACTTAGCTTAGCCTAGCATAGCTTACCTTCGCTTAGCTTAGCTTAGCAGCTTAGCATAGCCTAGCTTAGTTTAGCTGAGTTTAGTTTAGCTCAGATCAGCTTAGCGAAGCGCAGCATTAGCATAGCATAGCATAGCATAGCATAGCATAGCATGTCATATCATAGCATAGCAGATCATACCATAGCATAGCGCAGCATATCATAGCGCAGCACAGCATATCATAGCATGTCATAGCATAGCATAGCGCAGCATCTCATAGCATAGCATAACACAACATAGCATAGCTTAGCAGTTCACAGCGCAGCATAGCATAGCATATAATAGCATATAATAGCATAGCATAGCGCAGCATATCATAGCATAGCATATCATAGCATAGCAACGCAGATCATAGCATAGCAACGCAGAGCGCAGCATAACATAGCAACACATAGCATAGCATAGCGCATCATAGCATAGCAGAGCCTAGCATAGCGCAACATAGTATAGTATAGCATCGCATAGCGCAGCGTAGCATATCATAGCACATCATAGCCTTAGATGTAGGTGTAGGTGTAGGTGTAGATGTAGATGAATATGTAGATGTAGATGTGAGTATTGTTGTTGATGTTGATGTTGATGTTGATGTAGATGCAGGTGTAGATGTAAATGTAGCTGTCGGTGTCGATGTAGATGTTGCCTTCCTAAATGCTCCAACTCCTAGGTAGGGTCGCACTGGGATAATCTTTTACTATTTCTGAATATTCCCCCTGTAGAGGGACAGGCCCGACTTAACCATATACGTAAACTTTTGGCGCTCCGCGCGGACTTCTTGGACATGCGCTGGGCTCCCCTCCCTGGCGCGCGGAGCGCGCCAGGGGCGGCGCCGCCGGCGCCGCCCGGGGGGGCCCCGCGCGGATCCAAGAAAAATCCGCGCGGAGCGTCGAACATGTATGTTTATGGTTAAGTCGGGCCTGTCCCTCTACAGGGGGAATATTCAAAAAGAGTCAAACAATAGTCTGGGGACTATTTTTTGAATCTTTTTGGAAATCATTTGAATATTTTTTGATGTTTTAATTGTTTTTCGTCGATGTCTGGCAAGACTGCTGTGATTCTCGAGGGGGGGCCATCCGTACAGCAATGCGGTCCTGCCTGCTCCCCTTCGGCGCCTTCACGCGGCTCCAGGGCGGCCCACAAGAGCGCCCGGCCCGATCCGCCTCGATCGAGAGTCTGAGAAGGTCGGCGGAAGCGTCGACCGGCCCCCGACCGTTGTGCTCTGGGCGGCGCGGGCGAACACGCGGCCGCCGCCGGGAGGAGGAGGAGGAGGAGGAGGAGGAGGAGGAGGAGGAGGAGGAGGAGGAGGGGGAGGAGAAGGAGCGAAGAGGAGCGAGGAGGAGGGAGAAGGAGGAGGAGGAGGGCCCCTGGGCCGTGCGGTTGCGCTCAGGCCGCCTCCTCCTTCTGCTCAGGAGGCCACGCTTCGGATACACATGCAGAAGCCAGGCCTACTCGGCAGCGGCGGGGCGCTGGGGCGTCCTCTGGCCACATGTGCATCCCGCTATCGCTCTCGCCTGCCGCGTCACGTGCATCCAAGTTCCTGGCGTGGGGCGCCGTGCGGAGTCGCTGCTCCAGGATCTCATGTGCGATCCCTTCGACAACCAGCACCGAATCCGCGGCTGGGGCTTAGTGTGGCGCGCCTGAAGCCCAGCGCAACAACCTGATGGCGCGATGCCGAATTCTCAGCACGACAAGTCCCGCGCCACTGGGTACTATTTCTGATTATCATCATCCTCTTACTCCTGCTCCGAGTGGCCTGCCCAGTTGGCGACGGAGGAGAGTTGGGAATCTCCTGCGGTGGGTTCCCCTTCCAGGCCCCTGAGGGTAAGTTTCCAGAGAACAAACCTTGGAATGAATCCTGGAGAATCTCCCTGCACGCAATCGTGCGGAGGCCCTGAGGGACTCCTTAACAACACATTCCAGGGCTGTTTCCCTCCGTGGCTTCCTGGGGGGAGAACTCCCGAGGTTGGGTCTTGGACAGCCTCTTGGGCACTCGCAGCCGAGTCTGTCTGAGCACTCGATGTGAATGTACACGCGATGCCCATAGATGACGCCAAGCCCTTCCTTTGATCGCGAAGAACTTTAATATGTAAGTTGAGCGGTAAGTGGTGGAGGGGGAGCTGGGGAGGAAGAGGAGTGCGGGAAATACAGATGGCCACTCGCACGACGCCGCGTGGCCAAAGCCCGGAGAGGACCAGTCGTGGCGATGTTCCATCCTCCCGCTGGAGTGCTTGCTCTCGACGAGACACAGCAGGGCCGACTGCCGCTGTCTCTGACTGCCTACCAGACCACCCAAACCCAACCCGAGAGCCCGAATGTCGGGCTGGGGGGGGGGAACACGTTCCACGCGTGTTTTTTCCGATGTCCCCCGACCCCCCCCCCACACTGGAGACGGAGGACAAGTCGGGGCCTTCGGGCTGGGGTGGAGGTGGTTTGGTGAGCGGTGAATCTCGGCACGCCCCCCTCTGGGCCCAGGCCAGTGGCAGCGCGACGCCCAGGCGCCGCCCGGGGCCGACCCCCCCCCCAGCCGCAAGACTGAACCTAAACGGTGTCTTTTGTTTTCATTTTGTTTTCGGTTTCCCTCGCTTTGTCTTCACTCCGCCTTTACCGCAAAACGACATCGAAGCGAAAACGGCCCACGAAATCGCCAAAACGCCGACTAGGGTTAAGTCGGGCCTGTCCTTCTACAGGGAGATTCTGAACGAAAAATAAAGCATACGCAAAAAATACTCAAAAGATGCCCAACAATACTCAAACAATAGTCCCCAGAGTATTTTTTGACTATTTCTGAATACTCCCCCTGTAGAGGGACAGGCCTGACTTAAAGATTAGGTCCAGCCCTGCCCGGCCGCCAGAGGCTCCGCCCGAGGCGCGGGCCAGCAGCAGCAGCAGCGCCGACAGCGCGCCCAGGCCGCACTCGGCCACGGCGGCCGCAGGCCGCGCCAGCACGACGTCGGCGTCCCGCGCCTGGGCGAGGCGGGCACGACCACGCGGGGCCCCCGCGCGCGCAGAAGCCCGCACGCGCAGCTCTGCCCGCGGCAGCTGGGCCTGCTTTCCACCACCACCATCACCACCATAAGCTGGATGGGGGGAAGGAGGAGTAGGAGGAGGAGGAGGAGGAGGAGGCGGCGGAGGAGGAGGAGGAGGAGGAGGAGGAGGCGGAGGAGGAGGAGGAGGAGGAGGTGGGGGAGCAGGAGGAGGACCCCCTTCCCCCTCCTCCTGTACGGTGGTGGTGGAAAGCAGGCCCATCAGCAGCAGGCCCGCTGCTGTGCAACGGCTCAGGATCAGAGCGCTGGCATCACGACGGGCCCCCAAAGATTTCGACACCGAACTTCCGATTGGCCTGGGCGACCGTCCGTGCACACCACGTCTTTGACCTCCCTCGGGGCGACCAACAACAAAAAACAGCAGGCCTGGCGGCTGCGAACGCGAGGTGTGCTGCCCGGGCCGGCTTCGCAGGGTCCGAAGACGCAGCACGTGGCAGGGAACGACCTCCGACAGCCTCGAGGGGCCTGGCCATGCTCGAAGGCCCATCGGGCGCGACGTTGTGAGGGGGAGGGGGAGGAGGACACCCACGGTGACGATGCAGTCTCACCGTGCCGGAAATCGCGAATGCCCATCGGAATCTCAGCAGCAGCGTGCGGCACGTTGGCTCGGGTCTGCTGATCGGTGTGCGCCAGGACTTCGGGCCACGTCACGCGGCACGCTACGCTCACAAAGGGACGGACGAAGACAAGAACGGATGATGTGTTTTTCAGCCAGTGGCGATACTGCAAGTGGACGCTTCTGGGTATTGCGCGTTAGTGCCAACCGTGGCAACCATTCTCACTCTCGGATGGGAAATCCTTGCAAGGGAAAGACGTATACTTGTTCTTAATCGGAGGCAGTTTGCTCTTGTCGAATGTCGCGTGCATCTTGTCTCCAAAGCAGTGCCAATGATAAGCATGCACAAACATACACGGATTTGTTAACTTCATGCCGCTGTCCAAGAGGGCTGAGGCCATGTAGAATTCAGAGCTCATCCAACTCATCGGGAACTGAAGGTTGTGCGATTCTGTGAGATTCGCCGGCAGGGGCGTCCTGAACACATACGCATCCCAACTTCTCGTATGCCAAAGGCAACTCGTTGATGTCCCATAGGGCTCCTTCGGGCACTGATGTCCGAAAACTTCCTTAAAGGCTCCCTCGTAAGGCGGAGGCTTGATCGATAACAAGTGGACGCCGACGTGCTCTTCAAGCTCAGGCAGCTGAGCCAGCGTCTCGTCGTATACAACGTCCGCATTTGAAATTCGCCGACCCTTTGGGGCTTCCTCGGCCTGTGAGTGCTGCCCCTCCTCCACCACACAACCAATTTGGCTGCTCCCAGACGCTCAAGATGGCTCCAGATGGCTCCAGGACGCTGTAAGACGACTCCAATAAACTCCAAGATCATGCAAAATAATCAACCGTCGCTCTTACGTCTTGCTGGCCTCCAACATGCTTCCAAGAGGCCTCAAGACGGCCCCAAGACGACTGCACGTAGCCAAGACGTCCCCTCAGCACACCTCCAAGGACGAAAACTGTTGATTACGAGCAGGTGTCCGAAGGATATTCGGATCCCCGCTCCTCTGTCCTGGGCCCCAAGGCGGCCCAAGATGGACCCAACATGACCTCGACGAGAGAAACTGCCGGCCGTGCCCCCCGCGAAACGATGTGCATAATTACCCTGCCAACGGGCATACGGGTGTCGGCATACGTGAAGAGGTCTCCATACATCGGGCGCTCGGTGACCTGAACGCAGATCACTTTGTGAAACTGCGGGACCTCTCTCGAGGAGGCATCCTCCAGAAGGCCCCGAAGCCCCGAGCAATCGCCTCCGATGCGTTTCGGGTGCGCCTCCAGAAGTACGTGGACTGCCGATATGAGGGGGTTCGCCACGTTCACGGCGAAAGCAGCGAGCACCTCCCTTTCGTGCGACCGCCTATGATCAAACAGGCCCAGGAAGATTGTGGTTAGCAGGCCGATGCTATCCTCAGCTGGTACCCGGCCCGACAGGCGCAGGGCGTCAAACCTCTCCATCTGCTGCGATGCGTGCATGGCCAGGACGTCGAATGGCAGTTCGCCATTGGGCTCTGGCGCTAAGCTCTCAGCAGCGCCGTCGTAGCCGAGCTCGCTACCCTGGATCAGCTGTGAGGGGTTCAGCGCAGCGCAAGTGGCCACCAGGACGGCCGTCCCGAGACAGACCGCCGAGAACATGGACGCGGACGCAATCAGTGGTTCGGTTTATGGATGCCTAACATGCAAGTTGTATGAGTGTTGGGTGAATGCGCCGCCATGGCTGGAGGCAAACATCTCTGCCTCAAGCCAACGAAGAGCATCCACCCAACACGTTCGCGGAGGCAAGGGAGAGGAGGAGGACGACGACGACGTCTTCGAGCCAACATGGCTACGGAAGGAGGAAAAGGACGACGACGAGCAGAAGGCAGCAGCAGGAGCAGCGGCAGCAGCAGCCAAGAGGGGCTCTGCATGATGAGGACGCAAGTGACGATGCCGACGACGACGATCCCCCGGGATATCCTCGGAGGTACACAGAACAAGTTCTCAGGACCCCCACCCAGTTGGGCGTGGCTTAGTGGGGGGCAATAACATAGGGGGGGGGGTCAGAAGCGGTCTCCTTTCGTGCCCCTTCCGGGCCCCTCTGGAGCGCCAGGGGGCTCGTTCAGGTACCGCTTGGGCACCTTAAGGTACCCAAACGGTGCTTAAGGTATCCACACGGCACCTGGAGGTACCGCTTGGGCACCTTAAGGTCCTCCTCCTCCTCCTCCTCCTCCTCCTCCTCCTCCTCCTCCTCCTCCTCCTCCTCCTCCTCCTCCTCCCCCTCCCCCTTCCTCCTCCTCCTCCTCCCCTCCTCTCCTCCCTCCTCCTCCTCCTCCTCCTCCTCCTCCTCCTCCTCCCCTCGCTCCTCTCCTACTCCTCCTCCTCCTCCTCCTCCTTCCTCCTCCCTCCTCTCCTCCTCCTCTCCTCCTCCTGCCTCCTCCTCCTCCTCCTCCTCCTCCTCCTTCTCCCTCCTCTCCTCCTCCTCCTCCTCCTCCTCCTCCTCCTCCTCCTCCGCCTCCTCCTCCTCCTCCTCCTCCTCCTGCCTCATCCTCCTCCTCCTCCTCCTCCTCCTCTCCTCCTCCTCCTCCTCCTCCTCCTCTCCTCCTCCTCCTCCTCCTCCTCCTCCTCCCCTCCTCCCTCCTCCTCCTCCTCCTCCGCCTCCTCCTCCTCCTCCTCCTCCTCCCGCCTCCTCCTCCTCCCTCCTCCTCCTCCTCCTCCTCCTCCTCCTCCTCCTCCTCCTCCTCCTCCTCCCCTCCTGCCTCCTCCTCCTCTCCTCCTCCTCCCTCCTCCTCCTCCTTCCTCCTCCTCCTCCTCATCCTCTCCTCTCTCCTCCCTCCTCCTCCTCCTCCCCTCCTCCTCCTCCTCCTCCTCCTCCTAAAGGTACCTTTTCGGACCACTCTCGCCACCCTCCCTTTTGACCCCCCCGTTGCGCAGCCCCCAGCCCCAGAGGCCTCCCGTGGCCTCGGCCCCGGGCCCGCCCACTGCGGGCCCAAAAGCCCGGCGGCACGCGAGGGCGCGGTGGTGTGCGCGCCCCCGCGGGCGGCTCGCGGCTCTCTCCTTGCAGCTCTTAGTTACTTTTCGGTCGGGCAGGCCCTCCTTCTGGGGGATGTGGCATGAAAGCATGAAACATAGTCCAACAAATACCAGAAAAGAGTCACAAGTGGTCAAACAATCGTCCCCGGACCAATTTTCTACGATTTTGAGTCTCCTGTAGAGGGACACGCCCGACGTAAGACTACCTGCCAGACCACCCCAAGCCAGCCCGAAGACCCGAATCTCGGGTCGGGGGCTGCGAGGGCTTCACACGTGGCTTGTCAGTGTTCCCCGCCCCCCCTGGGAACAGAGCTTCGGGCTGGGGTGGGGTGGTCTGGTGGGTGATGAGCTCGTCCGCCGCCAGCGCAGGTCTGAGGGGCAACGATAGGGGGGACTGGCACTGGGGGGAATGCATCGACCTGGCATTGGCGATACATCGCCGCCGGATTGGCGATGGGCCTGCGATCCTGAACCAGCACCCTCCTGGGCAGGTTGGGGCTATCGGGCCCCCATGGGCGATCAATGGGCGATTGGGGGTCGATGAATGCATCCCCCCTATTGGAGGCCTGGGAATGGGCACCAACACCAACACAGGGGGTTTGCCTCCATAGGGGGAAGATGATCCTAGATTTCGGTGTTGGCGGTCATATTTCGGCCACTTTGGAAGCCAGAATATTCCCACCATCACCGAGATCGGGATCTTCTTCCCTCGGTGGAGGCACACCGCCGATGTTGGTGGTGGTGTCATGTCAACCTCCAGGCCTGCGACCCTGTGCCTACCCCCCCCCCCTGTCGCTGCCCCCGAGGGCGCCGCATGGGCGGAGAGGCCCCGAGACGCGTGGCAGCGCTCGGCAGGCGCAGGGCCCCGGGGGCGGACGAGGGGGGGGGGGGGGCGTGGCAGCGCTCGGCAGGCGCAGGGCCCCGGGGGCGGAGGGGGGGAGGGGGGGCACGGGGCGGAGGGCGCTTCCCTGGGGGCCCCCGCCGTCGCCCCCTCCTCTTGGCCCGCACCGCTCTGCACCTTTTTTTTCTTTGTTAGCAGGGGCAGCTTGGCCCGCGTGCCTAGACACCCGACGTCACGATTTTGTCATGCCGTCGACCCCTAGAGGTCTCGACCCACTCCCCCGGAGCGGCTTTTTCACCCTGAGTCGTTGACTGGACGGTCCTGAGGCCCGGTAAGGGCCCCCAGAGGCTGAAAATCATGAAGAACCTTCCGTCGTGATTTCTGTCACAGCGCGAGGAGGTCTGGGGAGAGAGAGAGGGCGGAGGAAGCAATGGCCACCGCGCTACCGTGCGCGTCGCCGCAAGAAGCACGCACGATCTCTGCCCGGCCCCCCGGCGGGCCTCGGCCTCGAGCGGCTGTTGTTTTTGTTTCCTCGGCCTGCACCCCCCCGGGAGCGGACCCGAAGACCGGGGCCCCTATCCTGAGTGCAGGAGCGGCCTTCGAGGCCTCGTCGTCCTGGCCGCATCCCTCTCCTCCGACGCAGGCCCCCATGGTACCCAGGCCCCCTCGAGTGGTGAAAAAATCATGACGCGAGGTGTTCCGCTGTCTTGGCCCCCTCGGGGCCCTCTCACCGGGCCTCGGGAGCGTCAGCACACGACTCGGGCTGAGAAGCCGCTCCCGGGGAAGAGGTTCAGACCTCGGAGGGTGGACGTAACGAAAAAAACATGACGTCGGGGGTCTGGGTATCTCGACCACTCCTCTGGGCCGCCCTGGCCCGGGGCCCACGTCTCTCGGGGATCCCGAGACGGTGCAGTGACAGACCATGCGTCGACCTCGGAACCCCCAGAGACCTCACCGCACGGTCCATCGCCACACGACTTTCGGGACCCCTCGGAGGGCCCGGCCGCCCGAGACGTCCTCGGAGAGCGTCCCCGGGCCCAAAACGAATCCCCGCTGACTTGCCACACGGTGCGGTCACCGCGCCGTTTGATGATGAACGAAAAACACACACCCATACCCATGGAGAGGTGGGGGGGATGAGGACTGGCTATGGGTATGGGTGCGGGCTTTCGGGCCCCTGGGGAGGCTTCCGTTTGAGCGGGGACCCCCATCCGACAACACGCACCCATAGCACCGCCCGTCTCCACGATGG